CTGTCGTTTGGCTTATCCTGCTATTAAAAAAAAATAAACATGACACAACATTCTTTCACAACCAGAAGATAGTTCAAATATTGTAGAATATGTCATACAATAGAATGTCTAAAATTCTACATGTAGGTAGATTAGAATTGAGGCAGGGAGGGCAGTGGTCCCTCTTTTCAGATTTTGATGTTTTTGCTATAAAAATTTAGAATAGACAGGGAATCCTTCAAGGAAATTGATATAGGCATTTCTACACATACAGTATAGATATATGACAAAGTTATGCTAGAAAATCTACTATTAAAATTTATACAGCCTAACTACTGTCTGTCTATATTAGTATATTGAAACAACTATATTACAGAGATTTAATTTTTCCATCATTTGTTTTGCTGGCATATTATGGTTTCTATAGTACAAATACACTTTCATGAATATTTCTGTAGCAATAGTTGCAGGGGTTCGTGTGTAATTGCAAAATCTGAAAAGAGGGATCACGTCACAGTTTCATTTTCTTGTGCATAATGAGATTCTATTTATGAGCATGTGGGTGACATTCGTGACATTCGTCACACTAGACTCGGCTATGTTTGATTTGAAGATATTAAAATCAGACTTTTGGCCCTCTCATAAAGGGGATGGCGATTTATTGTATTAAGCAAAATAAGGACTATGACGCATCTTATTATAGATAATAGATGAGAACATGGAATCGTCAATTCCGAAGGCTGCTCCAAAGCAGCTTCTGAATCTAAATCAGAAACCTAACACGGAATTCCTTAACTGCTGCAATTGCTCATTCGCCTCGCGTGCCATAATACGCACCACTCCGTCCTCGTCAGTCGTAGAAACATATCCGAGTACCAATGCCGCATGGTTCATCTCAGATCCGGAAGGAACAACGCCCACATGCTCCCCATCGTACACACGCGAAGTCAATCCACGTATGAGGAGCAAAAGAAAGTGCAATGCCGCTCGTCTTAGTGGCGGAAACTTCGGATTCGACACGGTGGGGCGAGTGTCCATTGTGACCTCTTCACCCTCGATCTCGGACAGCGCTTCTCGACTTGCTCCTACAGTGGCGCGTCGCCGCGGAATCAAATTGGCCCCGGACTCAGATTTGGTCTTGAATTTGACGTCAGCCGATGTGTTGCCGACTGTATCCAGGTCTTTGGACGCCTTGATCGAATCAGTATCCGTACCGGAGATATTTGGCGAATCGGGTTGTCTGGACTTCGGACCTGACCGCACGGACTCGATCTGCACAAGGTCTACCATAGTACCTATAAGATCTACCGAATATGAATTTAATGCAAGAGCATTTGTATCCGTTGCGGTGGCCAGTAGCGACACAGCAGACGTCCGCAACGTTGTAGGGAGATGGGACGCCCGTACGACTGCGAAGAGACGTGGGACGATGATGTCAACTATAAAATAGAAAGAGAAAATAAAATCAGTAAGAAATGTTTCATTGGTAGCCGCGCCTCGGCAGGGTGTCCGTGGGCTAAGATGAAGCCAAAGTAACGCCATGCCGGTGAGGCCGTTGGAAAGATGGCAAAGGGAAGAGAGGGGGAAACAAGGGTAAAGTGATGGGTAATTACCATATTTCCCAAGCGCGCCCCCACAGCGTTTGATGACTTGGCCTAAGGCCTCCCCTATTCGAACACGCAAGTCTACTTCCCTGGTCGTCATCGTCGCCTCCGACCCTCCTACTCCCTCCAGACCTTTAGCATACTCATCTAAAAGGCCCAAGAGCACTTCCTGCCCGAACCCATCGACTAGTGCTGCAAGCCCCTGTACAGCGTTCAGGAAAATGTAGGAATCCTCATCCTGGATCGACTGCATGAAAATAGACAGGATGCCCGGCACAAGCGCCACATCGACCGACGGCGCAGCGACTCCAACACCTTGCACGGTGCTGACGGTCGCCGACCCACCCGCCTTATCTTTATCCCGCCTCCTTGGGGCGGTGCTCGCTGGTGCGACCAGCTCACGCAATAACAATAACCCGTGAGCACGCACAGGCAGCAATGGGTCTTGTAAAAGTTTCAACGCTCTCTGGTATTTCTCTCGCGGACTCTCTTCCCCCACACCCTCTTGCTCATCCCCCTTCACAGGAAACGAGCTCGACGACGCAAGTCGCGCGGTTAGTATGATCCTCGCTTCCCGTGCCCGAGGCCGCAGAGCCTCGGAATCTGAATTTGCTAGTGGCTCGAGTTGCTCATAGATGTCATTGAGGAGGGGCACGGTTCTAGGCGATAGATCGGGATGTTCTAGTCACTTCTGTTAAATACGTTCATACAGGCCGGTGAGTGAAGGTCGCCCTACCTTCCAGAAGAGCAATAAGCAAGTTGACAGCTGTAACACTCAGATGCTCGCGCTTGTTCACGCCCTCCAACCCAGGCGCAAGGTCCTCGTCGTCGCTGTCACTTTCCCCGCCCTCCCCGCCTTCTTCAGGCACAATGCGAAGGCTCTCCAAGGAGAGTCCACCTTCCCTCCTGCCCTTAGCATTTCCTACCACAACCTCCTGCGCTAATGTCATCTTGATGATCATCAACGTACGCGTCACGTCTGGGCGACGGAGTGGGCTGTCCGCTGGAGCATCTGCGCCAACTTGCTCGGAGATTTTCATGCTGAGCTGGAAGAGCAGCAACTTTCTGGTATCTCGAATAAGTCTGGTTCTGGGCAGCAGCAGGATGAAAGGCAATCATACCGCAGTGGGTTGCCCTTGTCATCTAGCTTAACGTGCGTGTCGAGGATACGCAGGTAGAGTGCGGATGCTACGTCTTCCCTCTTTAGTGATTTGAGGAATTTAGCGAAGTGCAGAGGATGCGGGTTCAGGTTTAGTGGGTTATTCTCTTCGGTCTCCCTCATCTCA